TGGAGATATTATATCATTGTTGACAGACCTGAACAACACATGTGTCACGTTAGAGCAGATGCAGACTACAGGCATTGTTAAGGTCCTTTATAAGCTACTTAAGTTCTGTCCAGTTGTGAGTGCTAGAACAATAGCAGAACTTGCTGTCAAAATGGAAGAAGTTGTACAAGTTGTCATCTGTGCTGAAAAATAATAACAAAAACATGTGGGAGGACAAGGAACTAGTCACACATGACCTGACTGATGTTGAGGTGTCCTGGAAAATTCCATCTGTAACCAATGGATCACAGCAATTAAATGAAAAGGGGGATGAGAATCAAGCATTTATATGCTTCACTGAGCAACAAGATATAACAAAGGATGTAAACCAGGACAAATGTGATGTATGCTCAAATGTGACCCTGGACCACAAAACCAGTCATAAGGGTCAATTTTTAGATTTATACATCATCTGAAAGCTGAATCACACTTTTGTGACTGAATATTGTTGATTAAACATGAATATGCACGCCTATTAATGAATCATTGCATAAAAAATGTATAATATTTTTCATCTGAAAGTTAACATTTATGCAATGAAATGTATCTTGTTCTATAATAATTCTAGAGTAATATTTATGATGTTGTCTTGTTAGAAAAATATTATGTAGATTTCATAAATGTATAAATTTAGTTTTTGAGTAGTTGTGAGTTACGTCAAGTTTAAAGCAATTTAATTAAATCCATTGGTTTTGATGGTGTTGATACTGGTAATTCAGATTATATGTCCTTACAAATTTCATAAAATAATATATTCAAATGTTGAAAAAAGTTCTTATGAATATATGGTGCAATAATATATTTACTAAATAATCGTCACTTCCATGCACTTCATACATCATAATTTGTTAAAGAATTTCTCAACTACTCCATCTCTTAAAGTTTACTTAATCTGTGACTCGTAATATGATAATAACTACTGTATGGTAATTTCTAAATTCACTTCCTCTGACATCGCTTTCAGAGATCATGAGTTTGGTTTTTGCTACTCTATTTATGACTATGACCAAAGTTTAAACTAAATGAATGCATGAGAACCAGTAATGTTACTTTCAGATCACCCAAAAATGGGGAAGCACAACCCATGCAGCATGAGTCAAATGTGATCTTGTGTCTAGGCTCAGCAAACATGTGACAGAAAGTGTGCCACATGCAGAGAGCATGTGACCTGATAGTCTGCCCAAGATAGGGTCCAAAGAATGTATTTTATGCACTCAGATATCTCACTCAACAATGTTGAGCATGAACACGTTTGTAATGAAAAAGACAGGTCTTCAATGTGGAAAGGTCCACATGGGAAAATATATTTTATATAGGTCATGTTGTTGTTAGCCAGAATTAACTCTTGGTATGTTTAGAATAATTACAGGTTTAACCTCATCTTGAACCTTATGTTTGATTTAGTGCTTTCAGACAAGTTAGAGCCTACAAAAAAAAAAAAAAAGAATCACTTAAACTGTTAAATTACTATGGTATGTGTATAGCTGTTCATTGCAACATTCCATGTTTTAGATATTCCATGATGAGGCAAACATTATTGTAATCTTTAAGATTACATTATGTCCTCTTGCACAAGTTTTAACAAGCTCTAAGCTTTATGATGCAATGACATGCTGAGATAATTTGTGCAACTAGGAGGGAAAACATTTGGTTAGTGGTTCGCTGAATAATGCTGTCGTCAGTCAGAGACGGTTAATAATTAATATCAAATGCCAACCAAATATTAAGGGGAAAGGCACTTAAAAGAGAACATATTTAATTTACAATGAACCTTTCAGCCATTGTTTTCTGTATCAGGCTGACCTCAGTTATGAAACTTCATTCATTTCAGTGTTGTTTTATTAACCTGATTTCACGTTACATGTCTCATATATGAGTACTGGGTCATATGAGCTTCAGTAGCTGTTCGGCCAGCCCAGGGCGCCATGTCTTGGACGCGCTACATACGGTGGAGATGCTTGTACTTTACGGAATGGCGCTGCTAGCACAGCACTTCGATACTCATTGCGGAAATCTCAACGGTAATGTATTATTCTTAAACTAGCGGTCTGTTCCTCGCGCAACAAATGTTTTAAATGTACATTATTCAATGTGTAGAAATTGCCTCTAAAGATCTGCCGGTTTGATCATGCGATTGAATGGAATGCCGCCACTGAAGCTATGTCTTGCCACAACATTACATTTACCTTTGACGATTTGCTTAGTGACGAGAAAACAGTCGCATTGTCACAGTTGTTTAGCTTGTCATTGATTCACTTCGCCATCGAGTAAAAATGGGCTCGACTTCAGCCTACGTCGTACTCCAAGATGTTTTCTGCTGAAAAGGCATGAACAGCGCTGTCTGGTTAAATGTTTGCTATAAAATAGCAGCCCAGGCTTACATTTCATCTAGCTTTACATCGTAAATCTATTATTTCCTACAGTTCTTAAACATGTTCAGACTGGTTCGTTGTCAGTCTCATGTGATTCTGTAATGAAAATGTTATAGGGGATGTAATATAAGTCCGACTTTGATTACACAGTGATTGCTTACATTGTGAGTTTTATTATTTATTTTCATATGTTAAGTTATGAGGACAGGACAATCTGTCAAGATGTGTCTCACATGATCAGCGCTTCCGGCTCTAATGAATGGACTCCTGTCACAGGACATTACTAAACAGAAATATTACTCTGTGACGAACAATGTTTGGGGCCAAAGGGTGTATAAGAACTCCATTGTAAAGATACCAGTAACTTTGACCCGAGCCATGCTGATTTTAAGTCACACTGGCATTAAAAGATATTTTAGGCTAGTAGGTTACTCTGAAAATCACCACGAGGCATATTTTCTAGAACCAGCCTCTCTTACCTCACCGCTCACAAAAATCCTACTTGAACACTTTTCAGTGGCCTACATTTAGTTCACTTCAAAGTGAATAGTCGTGCCTTTCAAAGCTGGCTAATTCTGATTTTCATTTCAGGTCTGTAACCTATGAAAGTTCTTGATCATGACCACCAAGTCGTCTTTGTTAAAGGTGATTCTGCTGGGGGATGGTGGTGTGGGAAAGTCCTCCCTCATGAACCGGTATGTCTCCAGCAAGTTTGATTCACATCTATTCCACACGATCGGTGTAGAGTTCTTAAACAGAGAGCTGGAGGTGGATGGTCACACGGTCACTCTACAGATCTGGGACACAGCAGGCCAGGAGAGGTTCAGAAGTCTCCGAACGCCCTTTTACCGTGGCTCTGACTGCTGTCTGCTTACGTTTAGTGTGGATGATAATCAGAGTTTCTTGAACCTCAACAACTGGAAGAAAGAGTTTGCATACTACGCAGATGTCAGGGACCCAGAGAAATTTCCGTTTGTTGTTCTAGGAAACAAAGTAGATGTGACGGAGCATCAGGTGCCAATGGAAGAAGCTCAAAGGTGGTGTCAAGAGAATGGTGGATATCCATACTTTGAAACAAGCGCAAAGGATGCCACTAATGTCTCAGCTGCATTTGAGGAAGCAGTTAGACGTGTGCTTTCATCTGAAGATCGCACAGAACACCTGCTGCCCACAGACACTGTTGACTTGCGCAGGAAGCCACGGGCGAGCGGCTCCAGCGACTTCAGACTGGTTTTGTGGTCCAGGGTCACAAATAAGCTGTCTTCTGAAAAGCCTTACCCAGCAAAAGAAGCTGCAGAATCTGTTCAATTTAAGAAAAAGAGCTTCACTCTAGCCTCAGCATCACATAGTAGCTCTGATACAGAGAAAAATTCTCAAACCCCAATTCCTCAAAACACCAAGCAGCCCAGCACTTCCTTTGACACCATGGCATTGAGATCCAAATGTGTCCATCTGATTCTCCAGGCTCTTACTTTAAATCGGCAAATAGACTCAGATTATATGGACAAACACAAAGCCCTTGCTGAGGACATTGAAAGACATGTTCACACTCTTCACGGACGAAACCAGCTTAAGTACAAGTCCTGCATCAGGAGCAATGTGGCCAACCTAAAGAACCTAAAGAACCCTCACCTGCTCCAGGGCCTTATATCAGGACACCTGACTCCAGATGCATTCGCCCAGATGTCTATGGAGGAAATGGCAGGGGAGGAACTTCGACAGCTCAGGGAAGGTTACACCACTATGGGCATCAGTGAGCATCAGTTACCAGATGCGATGGAAGGGACACCCACCAATAAAGTTGGCTGCAGGTGCTGTGAGGGTTTGGACTGCAGGGGGACACAGATCTCACGAGGGACACTCTTCTTGCCATCCTGGGTATGGAGTGGCAGTGCAGATGATGATTCAATGACTTTTATGATGTGTGCTAATTGTGGAGAGCAGTGGTACCACAGCAGCTGGGTTTGCCTTTGAGTGTGTATTTTTTATAACTTTAATAAAGATGAATAGCAATATTGTTCAGTACAATTTGACCTTTTTGTGCACAGTTAAACCAAGTTAAGATTTTTCACTCAGATTAACTTTCTTGTGGCCTTTGGTTTGGTGCAGTATACCCTCACTATGCATTCAGGTCCATTTTGACCCAGAAGAGATACATACTTAAATGCATAGTTTTAAGTGCAGGAACCACAATTTGCAAATGCGCCAGGACTATCAAAAAAAGATATAACTATTAAAAATGTTAGACCATTCAGGTTTATTTTGACCCGGGCTTTACACATGATTTTATGCAGATTTCTTTTTGATCCATGAGTTAGATTATCAAAAATACTTTTCATATTTGGAGAAATTTAGCATAAATAAATAAATAAATGGCGCCATGTTCTCATTCCTACACCAGGTGGCGCACCTAGAAAAAAAAACCATTTCAAATACTCAAACTGGAGAAGGATTTAGAAATGATGATGGTTACCTTGCAATGTAGTGCAGTTATAAGTCCGCATTGCCAAGATATGAAAATGAAACTCTTGCACAGGTGCTTTTTAAAAAATAATAATAATAACAATAAACACAAAACAGTTAATCATATAGATCATAGAAAATATTTTACTAGAGAAGGTTACAAAAATCACTATACAGGATTCATAAAACATCTGACTTAAAATCGACTATGAAACATCTAAGAGTACAATTTCCTCTAACATTACAGTGGTTTGTTTTTCGGGGAGAGGTGGGACACTTTCAATTGTAGTTCATTAGAACAATGGACTACACATCACTTACAGTACTTCAAAACAAAATGAAATATCTCTCCTTCATGCAATAATCAGGGAACAATAGAACATCCAGGCACACATCTTCTTTTTCAAAAGCAGGGTAATAGATCAACATTTTACACATCCCTGTAAGCTCCCTTTAACAGAATTGAGCATACAGCAAGAAGTGGCATATAACTGCTATTAAACAACTGTATATGTGGACAATACTAACATGCTTATATTTACAGAGACATTACAGAAAAGAATAATTTTAGTTAAAAGACAGATTATTAAAAAGTCATATTGTAAAAGTAGTAATAGAAAGAGAGAGAGACCAGTTAGGAAAAAGATACACTGCAAAAACAAGGCTGCATTATTTGACTGTAAATTCAAACCATTTTCAGAGTTTCACGTCCACATAGCAATAAGTCACAATCATCTCATTAAACTCATGGTAAACATCTTGCCATAAAAACAAATTCTAAAAGACTGAAAAATACCTAGATTTATCAACAAAACTGAAGGAAAGCATATCATCTGTATAGATGTGAGGGTAGTTTCTGTTAAGACATTATTATTAGTAAATAATTTAGTATTAGTTGATTTTTTTTCCCATTAATTAAACAAACATCTAAATTGTTCTGCCAGTCAGAATTATATTGGTCAGATACTGTTTTCAGAATATCATTTTGAAGGTTGAGTACTTGATAATGATATTTGGCAGCTTTGAGAAAACATCATTTTAAACATCCCTCCACTGTATGTGCATGTGTGTGTGTGTGTGTGTGTGTGTGTTAATATACCTGCTTTCTATTACAAGAGTAGTGCAATTTGTCAATAACCGGTATTGTCCCCCACCCCCTCCAAAAAAATAAATTAAGAAAGAGAATTGGGAAAAGTGGTGAATTCAGAAATCTAAGACAGCCATAGAGACCAGAGAAAGGTTCTAGATAAACAGACATTTTCAATACACAACCTGGCACCCATAATTAAAAACAAACCAAAACAAAAAAAACAACATTCATTCACTTTCACACATTTATATATATTTATATACAGTATGTATAAAACACACAGAAAAAGGAAGTTCCTGCAAAATGTCTGTGAGGAGTTAGTGCAGACAGTCTGTTATGTAAGCAGCGCTTTACCAAGACAATGCATCATAAAACCAAACATAACCTAGTTATAACCATGACTCTACACTGTACATACACTTTCTACCAATTCAAAAATACTTGCAAAATGACAGCACAATACTAGAATACATACACTTTTATACCAGTGGTAATTTGTACCATGAAGTAGACGAGCAAAACACATCATATCACCATTAATGCATGATTCCACTCATCATTTGTTACAGATGTTCAATAACTTGTCTGACATGTTTATAACCAACTTATACCACTATTATGATGTATAGTCAGGATAGCGCAGCGCTTAGCAGTGTTAGTTTGCGTAGTGTTTCATTTGAGGGTGGCAGGTGTGTGTGTGTGTTTTGGTGTGGTCTAGAGTAGGTTAGATAGAGGTGGGATAGATCAGAATTGGGAGAACTGTTTATGAGTAGGAGGAGTTTAGACCCTCCTTGGAGCGTGACTGCACATCCTGCAGCTCTTGATCATCTCTGGTTTTGATGTCCTGGTAGGCATGAGTCTGCTGACACAGTCCCTTGAGATAGGCCCAGTTTGCTGCCAGGATCATCAGGTAGTGGATCTGTGGACGGTAGAGCAGGGGAGGAGACAGACAAAATAGACAGAGAGGGAGAAAGACAGAGGAAGAAACAGTTGGAGGGAAGGATTAGTCATGAGTGGGTTAGTTAGCCAAAGCCAGCTATAAGAGTTAAGACAGTATTAATTAGTTATTAATTTGAATCACTAAAGTAACTAAATCTCAGTGAATTGTTATACCTGCACCACACAGAAATCAATATTAGTTGATCGGAATACATTGAAAAAAATGGACCAACTTTATATTATTTATTTATAAGAAATTATATTTATATATATTACATTTTGAAAAAAATAATATATATGGTTTACTGTATATCTAAGGTATAATATAATATTTATTTTATTGTGATGTCTTTTAAAAATATGCATCATTTGTTCTATTATAAACTTTTGTGACTTAAACTTTAACTGAAATGATATGTGTATATATTAGTGGTGTAACGGTACACAAACATGACGGTTCGGTATCGTACCTCGGTTTTGACGTCACGGTTCGGTATGGTTTCGGTATAGCAGTGGGAAAAAACTAAACAAAAAATTGCTTTACTTTTATTAAACAGTGGTTTAATAAAACAAAATTTAAATGGCTCTTTCTTTAAATAAATTCAATTATAATTACAATTTTCTTAGGGATAAAAATCTACCTCAGTTTATGCTCTAAACTATAGGGAGCAATTTTTATTTGTTGTTGAAATATTCATTTACACAGTGGCTGTTATAACTTGATTCATAACAGATTTATTTAAACATAAATTAAATAATTAAAACATCACTAACAGGTAAAGTAAAATATAATGAGTATATAGTCTGATATTTCACGAAATGCTCTTCTCTAGACTTTATTTATAGCGCACTAACGAGCTGTGGACACTGATAACTTGCCTGAGGTAAATGAAATGCTACGTAACGAAAAGAGTTTAGGAAATCCATTAAACATAACTAACACAGAGCTACACACCTTGCCTCACAAAAATGTAATATATTACTCATTCAAAATAAAATGTACCTGTCATACTTTCAAAAAGTATATTTTCTAAAGGCGAAAAATAAACATGTTTTACATTGCTCTGGTCTGTCAAGACTGAAACAAGTTAACATTCCTTAAAAGTCTGTCTTTAACCCTAAAAGCCTACTGTATCATAATTGATACACAGAGGGCATGATCAAAATTTGCTGTCAAACCTCTTGAATAACAATCTACTACATGCCTTCTGTTGTCGAATTGATAATTGATAATTGTACAAACATTCACCTGCAGGTCGTTGTTCACAGTTTTTTTTTGTTTGTTTTTTGCTGTGAAATCTTTACTGATTTTTTATAAAGTAAACATAGGAATTACTTTGATGTTAGTAATATTTCAAGATGGACATTTATTGAAGTGAAGCAACATTTTTTGAAAAATCATGTTCAAATGCATCAAATATTATCCATCGGGCTTTTGAGGAATGTTTAATCATTATTGTATTGCATTGCATTATATGTTTTGAAACTACAGAGCAAAAAAACCTAAGCATTTAAATATCTTCTTTCAGACATATTATTGGATTTAGCATATAGAGTGACATCTGATATTTATATCTTTTAATGAAAATAGTCTGCGACTGCTATACTGTTGTAAAGATCTAATTGATTTACATTACAAGCAATCAGAATTTCATCTCACTTTTTGACCATTTAAATATTAGCATAAGCACCAAATTGCATATTTTTGCTTTTTAGCTTCTAAATTGAGCTGTTTTTTCCCCCCTCTATATTCTCAGTGTATCATACCATATGAGCCATAAAAGCTCAACATAAACACATGCAAGCCTATTCTTTTTAGATATTGTCTAAAGTTTCAATAAACTGTTCCATTTAAAAAAAATCCATTAAAAAACGATTATTTCATGTGTCAGGCTTTACAGGTATATAAACATGAAAAAGAAAAGATCTTCCTGTCAGTGCATATGTGGTGATCTTCAGGGACAGATGAGGTATATTTACCTCACTAGTATTGCAGATGTCGCTTAGCGTGGAGCCACAGGCTTTACCAGGAGTAGCGTTCCATGGGATGATTCCTGAAAATGATTACATGCATTACATACATTAATCTAAAGTAAAAAGTTATAAGGACTACTAAAGCAATGACTAATTACAGATTATTAAATATGGACAGTCGATCGCCAGGAGCAGGGTTGGGCACCCCTGCTTTAAAGGAATAGTTCAACAATGAAAATTCTGTCAAAAGGAAGAGCATTACGATTTCTTGAAAGTACAGCAAATACCTTTTCAAAATGAATACAATACTAGAATGAAGACATACAAAATTCCTGACAGTTTCAGACATAAATGGCACTGTTTCCTGAGAATGGGCTGTGTTACACATGCAAGTTTAGTTGCATCAACCAGAGATTTGGACATGTGATATTCTTCAACCAACCACATTTATTATTATTCTCAATGCTCATACAAACTCATTTCCATGAGTAAACTGCTTAATTAAACCAGTAGTGTTAGTCGTAGGTCAGGCAAACCTGAAGAATAGAGACAACAGAGCGAGGGGAGATGCATGCTGCTTGTGACATAGAGTGCTTATATAATGCTTGTTAAAAATAGCTTCAAACTTACCAGGAGTAGCGTTCCATGGGATGATTCCTGAAAATGATTACATGCATTACATACATTAATCTAAAGTAAAAAGTTATAAGGACTACTAAAGCAATGACTAATTACAGATTATTAAATATATATACACATTCATTTTCCCACTGGTAGGGATTTGAGTGAATGCCAGAAAAGGAAACATCTGATTGTATTTGTAACAGGAAGTGTACACTAGTTAGCACTGACAGATTTATCTCAACAGCTACATTCCATTAGAATAACTCACTCCTTACACTAAAGTGATGTTGATTTGCAACTAAATATAACCAAGTATTATCCACTGATTCACGATTAAGGATGGTCAAAGTTTTTACCATACTGTCGCACATCGACACAGATGTTGTCCACAGAGGTGAGATTGGCAATAGGGGACTTCAAGGCTCCACATGTGGTCCACATGTTATAAAACAGGAAAACGGGCACCGCAGAAAAGCCAAAAATGCCCAGCCATCCCAAGCCCAGAATGTGGGTGAGGAACACAAACTTCATTTCCATGAGTAAACTGCTTAATTAAACCAGTAGTGTTAGTCGTAGGTCAGGCAAACCTGAAGAATAGAGACAACAGAGTGAGGGGAGATGCATGCTGCTTGTGACATAGAGTGCTTATATAATGCTTGTTAAAAATAGCTTCAAACACACACACACACACACACACACAAAGAGGAAAAAGTTTTTACCATACTGTCGCACATCGACACAGATGTTGTCCACAGAGGTGAGATTGGCAATAGGGGACTTCATGGCTCCACATGTGGTCCACATGTTATAAAACAGGAAAACGGGCACCGCAGAAAAGCCAAAAATGCCCAGCCATCCCAAGCCCAGAATGTGGGTGAGGAACACAAACTTAAAAAAAAGAGAGAGAGAGAGAAGGTTTTGGCAGTTAGCCCCTCATGCTCACATATCCATTCAATATCCATATATTTAATATCGTGATGACTAGAATAATCTCATAGTTTGTAAATCCTGCAGTGCATACAGTATGAATGTGACCCAGAATCATGACCTATTTACTGCCAGATCACCTTAGATGTGCTGCCACTTGATTATCACAGTCACTCTTGTGAGCATACACATATGTTTTCCAGAATTACACATGGCACATGCATATATGGCCTAAAGGCTTAAAAGATGGATGCTACTGGACATCTGTAGCTATTAAAGCAATTGGGGCATATAGCACTGATCGTGCCAGATCTGTCCTCAAGGGTTGGGGTTGGCCTATGTATGTATAGTGGGCATATATGTGTGTTAATGTGCCAAATCTAGCATTAATGTTTATGGATGGGAGGAAATGCATTCGTATGAGCTTACATGTTGAGCATACAATGCTGTACCAGGTGAGATTCTGAGCAAGTTTACGCTGTCAAAACATACACCAAACATATGGAGCTGATTTTGTGATGCAAACATCAAAATGTGTTTTTCCAAATCATGCATTATAGTAAAAGTGTCGGAAGTCATAATAGCAGTATTGTGCAAGGAACTGTGTGAAAATAAGTGTTTATGAATCAATAACCTACCATCATACTTGAATCCTAAACAGTTATAAAAGTTGTCTGTGTTTTACTGCCTCTAGTGTTCATTTTAGCTGGAAACTTGAACTGATGTATGTGTAGGTACGTTTTTGGAGTTGCCATAACATTTGGTAGAGACATGTTTTTCCAATGAGCCTGGGTTGGTATTTGTATGTCCATGCTTGTATGTGCGTTCTGGCCTCACCATGGCACTGATGCAGCGTCCACACACAGTGGTCTTGAACTCCACACTCTTGCGTGTACCACTGGTGTTTCCATGGCAACCTTGTGCAATTGGTCTCCTTAACACCTTATAATTGCATCCGTATGAATATCTTTGGGATATCTTACTGATGTAGAAATGTTCTTCATAAAATAATGTGAGAAATGACTGAAGCATGATGCTGCTATTTGCACTTGGGGAGTTAGTAAAACACTGTGAAGTGACACTTGTTCACATGACCCTGTCTAAATGAAGAGACATGAATTCAGGTTGTGTGTTCAATAAATCAATTCATTATTATGACTTAATTCAGAATGAGTCACCAGTAAGGACATTTCCTAAAAATATTTTAACTGCCAAATTTTCCCCTTTGTCCCTCCAAAATAGTTAACATAATCTTTTGTTTTCCTGTTTTTAAAGATGAAATAATCAGCCTGAATTTCTGAATCACTGACCAATTTCTGCTTCATTTGTTACTTTAAGTTTTTAGAGTGTTACAGTAAACCCTAAAATATTATTTCTATTTAACTGACATATAAGGCAAAATAACATTCTCAAATTACCCTCCAATTTTATACATAAATGTATGTCACTTTTCCCTATGTTTATGCCTTTCTCAAAGATTGCACTGCTCATTTCATTCCTCAGTTAAAGTATAGTAACATTTTAGCTTAGCAACCAATTCTCACTATTAACTAGTTGCTTATTAGCATGCATACTATTAACATATTGGCTATTTATTAGTACTTATAAAGCCTTATTCTGCATGACCCTATTTAAGAGCACTTAATCCTACCCCATACCTAAACTACTTTACTAACTATCAATAAGCAGCAAATTAGGAGTTTGAGGCAAAAAACAGTTAATAGTTAGTTATTCAGAATGAGTCACCAGTAAGGACATTTCCTAAAAATATTTTAATATTTTAATATTTAATATTAAATTTTCCCCTTTGTCCCTCCAAAATAGTTAACATAATCTTTTGTTTTCCTGTTTTTAAAGATGAAATAATCAGCCTGAATTTCTGAATCACTGACCAATTTCTGCTTCATTTGTTACTTTAAGTTTTTAGAGTGTTACAGTAAACCCTAAAATATTATTTCTATTTAACTGACATATAAGGCAAAATAACATTCTCAAATTACCCTCCAATTTTATACATAAATGTATGTCACTTTTCCCTATGTTTATGCCTTTCTCAAAGATTGCACTGCTCATTTCATTCCTCAGTTAAAGTATAGTAACATTTTAGCTTAGCAACCAATTCTCACTATTAACTAGTTGCTTATTAGCATGCATACTATTAACATATTGGCTATTTATTAGTACTTATAAAGCCTTATTCTGCATGACCCTATTTAAGAGCACTTAATCCTACCCCATACCTAAACTACTTTACTAACTATCAATAAGCAGCAAATTAGGAGTTTGAGGCAAAAAACAGTTAATAGTTAGTTAATAGTCATAATTGGTCCCCAAATTAAATTAAAAATTATATATATACACACACAGAGAGAGAGAGATGTTTTTCCAATGAGCCTGGGTTGGTATTTGTATGTCCATGCTTGTATGTGCGTTCTGGCCTCACCATGGCACTGATGCAGCGTCCACACACAGTGGTCTTGAACTCGCTGTGCATCTCTTTGACAGCACTGGTTGTGTAAAAGCCCTCAGCCAACAGGATGATGCCATACAGGAAGAAGAAACAGGCAATTCCATAGATGATGTACTGCAAAATCTGAACCCTGTATAACAAAATAAAACTTTTAGCTATAGTGAACGTATTGACGTGAGAGTTGTAAGGTGGGAATGAATTTCTCAACATTAGAAATTCTCAACGCTCTTGATCCTTTCAAATTCACATGCATGAAAAGGTACCAGTTTAGATGAAATGATACAAAAGTATAGTCATAGTTTATTTAAGATCACATTTACCAGAGTTCCTCCTCAGTAAACAATGGCAGCAGTGATTAATTTGACTTTTATGTAGAGGATACAGATGCATTCTTGGCAGATTTTATCAGTGGTACTGTGTATATGGCACAGGGCCACTGACAGTAAGATGTACACAGGAAATAAAAGGTAATTTCCCAGTAAAGCTCCAGATGACATGATGAAACAGAAAGCACTGCCACTTATTTGCTGGCATTCTAGAGGTCATTACTCACCACATACTCATCCCTTGTCCATGTCATAGACATGTATGCAAACAGGTAGAAAATTATTAACTCAAAATGTGCTTTTTTCCCTTTCATCTCTCTAAGTATGCCTCTAATAATCATCACACCTCAAGCAACTCACAGTAGCAATCCAAATAAATGAACAACTATCATTGGGAAGTTATTATTTATGGTATTTGGTGCATTTTAATGGCTGTTTGTTCAAACACACTTACACATCAGTGAGAGTAGCATGGTCAGAGGTGATGCGAGAAAAGTGGTTTTCCACCATGGTCACAGTGCCCGTAAGTGCCACATGCCCACAGCCGCAGAACAGAGCCACACCCGAAAAGCACAAGATGGTGGCCACCAAAGAGGCGTAGGGGACGCCGCCCAGACACTTGATGCAACACTCGAAGCAGCCTGTAGGGGGAGAAAGAGAGATTACATGTTTTGTCGTAATTCATTATAGCAACTGGTACTTTCTAGCATCATTACTTTGATTTTTATGTATGCTAGATAAACACATACATTTTGAATACTGTATTTGAACACTGAACATATTCAGTGTGAGAAGCATTATTCTTTGGAGTTATAAGGCCACATAAACTACTTCAGACTGATAATATTTTAGCGCTTTATCAACTCCCCGAGAGGTGAGGCTCATGTATTTGGTGTCTTGACACCTCACTGCGACAGAATCATGTCAGATTAAATCAGCTGGCCGTCCATGACAAGCCACCTTCACACTCACGTCATGTGACATGCGGTGAGACTGTTGTACTGTAATATGGAGAGATTAATTACAGCCACTAACAAATACATTTCTCTTTTTGAATGTTCAATGATCAGCTTCACTTTTAACAATCATTAAAACAACAGAATGAAAACTGGAAACTACCCATATGCAAATGTAATATATGACATACATTGCCCATTACATGTCTGTTTGATTAAACAGATAAATCTGTCCTTCACTGCGCAGCAGTTCTCAGTTTCCCTCACCAAAGAATGCATGATCATGGGAAGAACTGATACACACAAGGTTGGGCTCAAATCTTCAAAGTTTAATGGACATACACACAGTTCAAACATTTTTCTTATCATTCATATTCATGTATCATTGAACAAAGACTTTGAAATTGAAATTATTTTCTATGACTCCCTTAGACTCTCCCAAGGCCTTTTAACCTTGTGAAAGCAGTTACATTTGAAACATCCCACATAGCTCATATCATAGGAGAGAGTTATTTCACTAACAGTTATCTAAGTCAAAGGAGAAATGCTGTGAAGAGATGGAGTTACAGAGTACAGAAATCAATGAAACATGATCAACCAGGGCCCACAACAATAACCTGCTCCGTATTTCCTAGCAATGTCTATATTTTATATTTACTTATATAATATCAACATGGATGGATGTACATGTACATGACATATATCCAAAAATGTATTACACATACATAATTGTATGGGCTGGATATATACTTTACTATATGAAATTGTTCCAATTTCTAATAGGTTTCATATATGTTTTTACTTCATATGACAATATATTTCATATGTAATATATGTACATTTATTACATTTGAGTAAGGGTACTAGGACTTGTATTTGCAGTGCCACTTTCAGACAAATAGAAAAAATGTCCTCTGTTAGAAAATGCAAAAATCAACATTTAGAGTAATTTTGGAAATACATGGGAAGACATATTTCTGTTCTCACTTAAGCATTTCCCTTTTAAAATGTTAACATGTAAATCCTAATTCTATACTTTATACATGCCTTCTGAAGGGTGAGAAATATTCTGTGTGCAGTAAAGTCACTGCTGATTCATTTTGTTCTCTGCCTATTTATCTTCTTCCAGAGACATTAAACAACACCAACTATTTATTTTCTGTCACCCTACACCAACCCTACACCTAAACCTACCCCTCACAGAAAACTTTCTGCATTTTTACAATCTCAAAAAAAAAAAAAAACTAATTCTGTATGATTTATAAGCTTCTGTACTCATGGGGACCTCAATTTAGGTACCCACAGTGACACAAGTCCCCATGAGTTGGTGTGCATTCAGGTTTAAGTCCCCACCAGTGTAGAAAAACCTGTACGCGCGCACACACACACACACACACACACAATTTACTCTATAGTGATTTGTACATTGTCATCAAATGTACAAATGTAAATGTTCTGTTTTGACAGGCTCAAACCAGGAAGCCCTGCAGAAATACGTTGGTCTGAAAATCTGAAATGTGTTTATCAGGGAGCTCTGAAAGAGGGGATTAAGCTCTGAGAGAAGCAGCTGTGCGACTGTATTGCATAATAAATCTATACCATTAATGTTAATGAGCTAATGCGGTTAAACCAGAGGTGTTGAGATGCTGCCTGACACTGTAGATACATGCTGGGTTACAGTAAATCTTAGTGGTGCTGACAGAAAACAGAGTACAAATAAAGAAATGAAAAGTTAATGTACATTCTGATTTCATAATTCATTGGGATAAAAAGTGCTCTCACTCAAAGCTTCCTGGTGCCTGTTGAGGACCTCCAATGGGCATCTGTGATAGTGCCTGAACAGTTCTCCATTTATCAACAGTGTTTAAGAGCTTTAATGGGCTATAGACAGGCAAAACAGGGCAGCTCTCTTTGCAGCCATAAAGGAAATCAATGAGCTATTCATTAGTGTTGAATTTAGAAAGCAAAGATTACACGGGTCATCTCTCTCCGTCTCTATACTCAATTATTTCCCTCAGCTATTTAGCAGCTGACAAAATACATTTTTCAACTACATACAGATAAAGTTTGGCACAATATATATATATTTTTTTTTTTTTTACTGTATTTGACTTTTTCTACCCGTCCACTTGTAACATAAGGGTAATATATGTACATTTATTACATTTGAGTAAGGGTACTAGGACTTGTATTTGCAGTGCCACTTTCAGACAAATAGAAAAAATGTCCTCTGTTAGAAAATGCAAAAATCAACATTTAGAGTAATTTTGGAAATACATGGGAAGACATATTTCTGTTCTCACTTAAGCATTTCCCTTTTAAAATGTTAACATGTAAATCCTAATTCTATACTTTATACATGCCTTCTGAAGGGTGAGAAATATTCTGTGTGCAGTGAAGTCACTGCTGATTCATTTTGTTCTCTGCCTATTTATCTTCTTCCAGAGACATTAAACAACACCAACTCCCCCACATGCATGAATAATTCATCATAGATTGACTGCAACTTATGAAGCAAAATGGGCCTCTTATATAATACAAACAAGATGAATGTAATGTAGAAAGAACTGATGTAAGAAAACAGAAAAAGATTTTTACACCTTGCTTTGCTTTACTGTTACTGCTTCCAAACTGTACATAGATTAAGAGTTAATAGGGATTTTGACTGAATAGGGGTCTTTGGAAAGTCATGCTAATAGAAGAGCACACCAGCAGGGTCATTTCTGACATCAATGGGCCCTCTGACCCTCCTGTCACACACTCACATTAGTGATGCTAATTCATTTTTACAGTGAACAGAACTTCTCTGAATATACAAAACCATCTGTTCCGCACTGTCGCACTGTTACCTACTACAACAGCTGCTGCTCAGTTCATAATAGACCATTTAAAGAGGTAAAATGGTTTCTCAACATGAAGAGGATGATTACAGCAGTTATCTGACAGCAATATGAAATTTCATTTAATGTGTGCCGTGACTGGTTAGATCAGGAGTGGTCGTAAAAGAACATATGGCTACTGCAGTTAAGCTTGGGAATGAAACATGACAGGTTAAGATAGGGAAACATTTATTTGAGGTTATTTTAGGTTATCTTTCCCAGGCTTATTCTTATAATGGTGCCTATTTGTGTTCACATAATGTACTGCTGATTTTGCAATCAAGTAAAAAAAAATGATGCTGAAACTTTTTATAGATTGATTTCTGATTATGTAATGTAAAAAACATTTATTTGATAAATTAAGTAAAAGTATTTCTTTGTAATTTCCGCTAATATGTGTAATGTGGTGTTTGGGTTCATGTTTTCCATGTCTTTTATTTTGTAATTGTTTCCTGCTGTTAGTGTCATGCTTCCCTTCCCTCATGTATCTCTGCCTTGTGTATGTGTCATGTTCTGATTGGTAGTCCTAGTCATGTGTCTTGTTTCCCATTGGTTTGTTCTTGTCATGTGACCCTCATTGTCTGATATAAGTAGCCATCATGTTCCCATAGTTCTTGTCGTGTATTGATAATTCATTTTTACAGTGAACAGAACTTCTCTGAATATACAAAACCATCTGTTCCGCACTGTCGCACTGTTACCTACTACAACAGCTGCTGCTCAGTTCATAATAGACCATTTAAAGAGGTAAAATGGTTTCTCAACATGAAGAGGATGATTACAGCAGTTATCTGACAGCAATATGAAATTTCATTTAATGTGTGCCGTGACTGGTTAGATCAGGAGTGGTCGTAAAAGAACATATGGCTACTGCAGTTAAGCTTGGGAATGAAACATGACAGGTTAAGATAGGGAAACATTTATTTGAGGTTATTTTAGGTTATCTTTCCCAGGCTTATTCTTATAATGGTGCCTATTTGTGTTCACATAATGTACTGCTGATTTTGCAATCAAGTAAAAAAAAATGATGCTGAAACTTTTTATAGATTGATTTCTGATTATGTAATGTAAAAAACATTTATTTGATAAATTAAGTAAAAGTATTTCTTTGTAATTTCCGCTAATATGACATGATGTGACATAATGGCATTGCATTAATCACCATTATACTATTATACTGTGCCATTAAAAATATTGAATTACACCTTAATTTTGCTTTTGATTATGTTTTCAATGTAATTTCTTTTCTCTGAAAACGTATAATTTGTCCATCACTTTCTGTTTAATAGTATTATGTTGTGACATTTCTACCCTTTAAAGCAGGGGTGCCCAACCCTGCTCCTGGCGATCGACTGTCCTGCAAAGTTCAGCTCCAACTCTAATCAAAGACACCTCTTTTGTGCCAAGTCAAGTCTCTGTTAGGATTATGTTTGGATTTTGGATCGCGTTTCTGAATAAACTGCACATGGGTTCTCACTTCAACTCGCCTTCAGTGGACTATTCGTTACAATATGTGACATGATGTGAAATAATGGCATTGCATTAATCACCATTATACTATTATACTGTGTCATTAAAAATATTGAGTTACACCTTAATTTTGCTTTTGATTATGTTTTCAATGTAATTTCTTTTCTCTGAAAACATATAATTTGTCCATCACTTTCTGTTTAATAGTATTATGTTGTGACATTTCTACCCTTTAAAGCAGGGGTGCCCAACCCTGCTCCTGGCGATCGACTGTCCTGCAAAGTTTAGCTCCAACTCTAATCAAAGACACCTGCCTTTAATTTTTAAGTGATCCTG